ATAAAATACACCGGGGAATAATATTCAAACCTGCCTGAACAACACAGCGAACTTTTGCCAAAAGTTGATCGCATCACATACGACGCGATATATCCCCCTATAGTAGGCGCGCGGCCAGCCACACCGTAAGTATTAAGACTGAGTCCCAAGCGATGTGCATTTGACCTGCGCGGCGAAGCGTCGCTCCGGGTTACGGTGTGAATCGTCAAGACAAAAGTCTGGAAAATTTTCGAACTGCAACCCTTATGATAGACAAATTTTTTTCGAAAATTTTTTAGATGTTCAAACAGTTTTATATATATGGACAATACGAATTATAGTGAATTATTGAGTTTTTAGGTGTTTTTTTTTGTTTTTTTTTTAAAACTTTTGTATTGAAATATGTATTATTGATTTTTATAGATCTCAATGAATATAAACAAATTTATTTGTAGTTATATTGTTTTTTTTTTCTTCTTTTTTAAGAAAAATCCGATTTTTTATGCAAGTTTTCAATAGTTTTTATCGATTTTCTCCGAAACGGTAAAAGATACAAAAAAAACTTTGTTCGTACGAAAGATGCAGAATAAAATTACGAATAAAATGATGAATAACTCGATATATGTCATAATATAATTTTCATGAGACTTTTCAATTTTTCCTTTAAATTAAATAATGTTTTAAATTTTTCGCTGACTTTAAATTCATTTGCGGGTTATGCTTTTTTTTACAATATTGTTTCAAATGATGTAAAAAGTTAAATTAGCGAGGTGCCTCAATATGCAAAAAATTGCCCACCCTAATATATATATATATATATATATAATATATATATATATATTCTAGCTGACCCGGCAAACGTTGTTTTGCTAAGTAAGGTATATTCTAAACAATTTCTAGATCAAAATTATTAATACTTTAAGTGTATAAGAATGTGTTGTTTGAAAGCTATATACAATGCAGTATTATAAAAACAATAAACCTTACTAGTTTGTCTATATTTTGTCAATACAATCAAATTGGAAGATTTATACACTTTCTATAGAAAACATAGTATAATCCATCCAAGTCTTTTTTGGTCTTTCGACTTATTGATTACGTTTCAAGTTTTTCAGATTCTTTTTGGATTCTGGATTTGTGTATAATTGTAAATAATACTACTAAGCTTATACAAAATTTTCAAATTTTTGCGAGAAGAGATAAAAAATGAATTAATTCTGCTTATTGAAAAGTTTCAAGTAACATTCGATAAATTAAAGTAAATTTAATAAAAAGTACATGTGTAGGGCAGGGCGAGGCACAAAGGTCCAATTTGACTTTGAGCAAATAAAAACTATATTGTGAAAACCATAACAATTATATCACAACAAATAACACATATCAAACAAACAATTATCTAACTACGTTTAGTAAACTGCCTTTTACTTCATCATTGTAAAAATGTGCTTTTTTGATGTGTTTTAAAATTTTCTGGACCTTTTTACCCTATAGGCGGGGAAATTTGAAACGGGCAGGTGGCAAAAAGGTTCACAGCCTTATTATAAATTCAAAGGTATTTTACAAAATAATTACATTTTTAATTAATGCTAAAAAACTACCAATGGAAGAAACACTTTTATTATGGATTTTCAAAGATTACCGTTTATCTTCCCCATTTGAAAGATTACCATTTTCAAATCAAGGTTATAGCTGGTTATACATCTTTTTTTCTCTACTTTCAAATATTGTTTTTGACTTTACTGATTTTTGACACATCGGTGGTGGACCTTTTTAACCCCGGATCTTCATATATTACTATCTATTCTTCGATAAATTCTGGAAAATTAAAACGGGGAAAATGTTATTCGACAAAATGTCTATTTGATCGACACCACATTTAGGTTCTGAATTTAAATAACATAATAAAAAATAATATAACTTAGAAAATGTTTTATAAATACCGATTAGTATATAATTCTACAAATGAGATCTTTCATAGCACCGTGTTTGAGAAAAATATGCCAAAAAGTGCATTTTCATATTAACATTTCATATTTTAAAAGTTGATATTTTGAGTCTCTAGTAACACTTGCAGCCCGTTTACTAACGTTTTTGTATATAAATAAAACTACAAACAAACTACTTACTACAATTTAATCATAATAAAATAATATTCACGTAAAGGAAAAAAATCCTGGGACATTTCCCATAAATGTAAAATTGGGTTTATATTGAAACACACCTTGTAATTGAATAATGCATTTCACTTATTAGTAAGATTCTATAATATTATTTTAGTTTAATTTTGACTAGTTTCGCGAGTTGGGCGGTTAATTATAATAACAAACTTAAAAGAATTGTGACTGCTTTCGCTCGTCAAGCGGGTACTTTTTATGTGCTTTCTTCTTGACGCTTAAACTTGTACTGGTTATTATAATACCTAATATTTTTGGGTAAAATGTTTTTTATTTCCCTGTATGAAGCGAACAGCTTTCTGCTTGTGCGTTGTTGCAGTTTTTGAACATTGGAGCAGCAATTCGCTCCATTCTGGGGCCCCAACCGCCAACAACCATGGCTTATGTCAGGCCTTGAGATATTTGATCAAAATTAAAATTTGAACTAAAACGTATTAAACATATAAAACTTATTAATTATATAATGATCAAACTCAAAATGTTTTCTAAAACTTCAATTTAATATACTTTATTAAAATTTAATATAATTATTATTATTTACTCTAATCCTTAATGCTATGATCAAATGAAATAAAACTTATCAACTAATTGTTTATTAATTAAAATTGAATAATTATGTTATATCTAAATAATTTGAAATTTGAAATTGAAATAATCTTATAATTACGTTAATTAATAATTTTGTGTATTAACTGGTGTCTGGTATACAAACCTTTAGCAGTTTTAACTATTGCAACTCGTATTCTATCGTCTGGTCCTTTTTTTGTCTCAATTACCTTCGCGATGTTCCATTGGAGAGGTGGAGTATTATCCCCTTCAATTAAAACAATTGTCCCATTTTTGAGATTGGGGTTGGTTTTGTACCATTTTTTTCGACCTTGTAGTTGTGACAAATATTCGGTGGACCAGCGATTCCAAAATATATGTTTTAAGTTATTGACATCTTGCCAACATTTCAATATATCATTATTACATTTTGATTGGGGCTCAGTAAATGAGGCTATCACATCATTAATTAAAAAGTGTCCCGGGCTTAAGTATCCGCAATCCGTAACGTCATCGGAAACAGCTATCAATGGACGCGAATTTACTATGGCTTCTACTGGGGTTAGAAATGTGTAATACTCTTCAAATGTTAATATTGTGTTGCCTATTACTCTGCGTATGTGCAATTTAACTAATTTTATAGCCCCTTCCCAAAGTGTGGAGCATGAGCTGGAATGAATTTCCATTCGATGCCCTCCACTGATACGGCTTCAATTAATTTGTTTCTTTCTTGTTCATTCTTAAAATATTTAAAAAGTTCGTGTAAATGGTGCTTTGCTCCTACAAAATTTGTACCATTATCACTATGAATCGTGGCGCAGCGACCGCGTTGCGATATGAAACGTCTTAAGGCGGCAATGAAAGCGTCTGTGGATAAGCTTGTTACTAACTCTAAATGTATCGCCTTGGTAACAAAACTAATAAAAAGCGCAATGTACGATTTTATTAAAGGAGCCTTGCGCAATCTAGTTGATTTTAGCATAATTGGGCCGGCGTAGTCGGTCCCTACGTTTAAAAAAGGTCTTACAGGATTAATTCTGCTTAGTGGTAGATCGGACATCAATTGCGTTTGTGTTGTTACTCTGAATTTATAACAAATGACGCAACTATGAATAACCTCTTTAACCTCTCTTCTACCATTTATAGGCCAGTATCTAAGTCTTATATTAGCGAGAGTAGTTTGGGTTCCTGCATGTAGTAAACGCATATGTTCTTGCCTAATAATCATTGTTATTATTGGATGCTTTGCTGGTAAAATTATCGGGTGCATTTGATCGTATGGAATATTTGCACGCCGTAGTCTCCCGCCCACTCGCAATGAATCGTTCGCACCTACAAACGGATTCAGTTTTAGCAATGATTTTTCAAAAGCGTTGGACGAGTCTTGATTAATATTTAACTTAGTTAATTCTTTATTATAAACTTCTTTTTGTAATTGCCGTATAATTGCATATTTTGATTCATTTAATTCATAAATTTCGAGCGGACCTAATTTTTGTTATTTTTATTTATTTTTCTTATATTTAAAATAAATCTAGAACAAAATGCTACAACTCTAATCATTTTTGTAAAATTTGAGAATTTATTATAAATTAAATTAAAAGAGCTTTCTTGTGTTACAACCAGTGTCACAACTGATTTTCTTTTATCTGGCAATTCTATATTATCGGAAATTGTAAACTTTTTTGGTCAATTATTCGAATTTGCGAGCCAATCAGGACCGTTCCACCATAAGGCTGAATTTTGTAAATCTAACGGTGTGATTCCGCGACTTATTAAATCCGCTGGATTCTCTTTGGAAGAAACATGTCTCCAAGTGGCTTGCAATGTAAGTTTTTGAATTACCGATACTCTGTTTGCAACAAAGATTTGCCACGTACAAGGCTCGGAATTTAGCCATGATAACGTTATACTGGAATCGCTCCACAGTACGTTTTCTTTTATCACGTATTCTAAACTATGGCTTACCTTATTAAATAAGCGTGCTAACAATAGCGCGGCACATAACTCTAGACGCGGTAAGGTAATTTGTTTCAGCGGTGCTACACGCGATTTTGAACATATTCATTTTGAAGAGCATGTCCCATCCTGATAGGTTACGCATAAATATAAACAAGCACCATATGCTTTCATTGAAGCATCCGCGAAACCGTGAATTGAGCGTTTTTCTATTGTTTTAAAAAGATTCAATTGCCGAGGTATTGTTAGCTGCTGTAAAATCTCTAATTGTTTCGAAAATAATTGCCAGTTTTTTAATAAATTATTCGTAACCGGTTCGTCCCAATCTTTATTTTACCTCCATTATTGTTGCATAATAAGTTTGGAATTGACTACCGGAGTAATGAATCCCAACGGGTCAAATATACTAGCTATAGATGCTAAATTTTTTCGTTTGGTTTTTATATTGTCTATAGCTAAAACGTTGTTATAAATTTTAAAATTATCAGATGTAGGTTGCCATATAACCCCTAAAGTTTTAATTATATTTTCTTTGTCAAACCCTACATTTATATTTTCACCTATATTCTTATCATTAATTAATTCTATATTATTGCTTGACCACTTATGCAATTCAAACCCCCCTTGGGCTAGGAGATTGTTAATTTCGGTTATTAATAATTTTGCTTCTTGTAAAGTGTCTGCACCGGAGTTTATATCGTCCACATAACAATCTGACTGTAGAATTTTGGACGCTTTTCGATATATTTCATTATAATCTATAGCTAACTTTTCAAAGCATTTCATTGCTAAATATGGCGCGCAATTAGTGCCATACGTTACGGTATTTAGCTTATAGCATCCTACAGGTATTCCGGGCGCCTCACGCCATAAAAATCTCTGGTAGTCCTGATGTTCGAATTTAATTTTAATTTGACGAAACATCTTGACTATGTCCGCCGTAAATACATATCTATATGTCCTAAATCTAATTAATATGGTAAACAAATCTTTTTGTAAACGCGGTCCCGGTAGCAGTATGTCATTCAAAGATAGACCATTTGAAGATTTTGCCGAAGCGTCAAAAACTACTCTTAATTTTGTTGTTAAACTAGCATCACGAACCATCGCGTGGTGTGGCAAATAATAACTAGCTGTAAGTGGAATTCTGTCTTAAGGCAATTAAGGCATCGTGCCTTAAGGCAAATTGCTGGAACTTCCCGTACCAAAAATTATTATTTTTTTAAAAACAATTAACATTTTTGAAAAAAAATTACTTTGAAAGAATAAGATTTTTGAGAAACTATAAATTGGACAAAAAATAACTTTTCTTTGAAAAAAAAAATTTTTTTTTAAAAAAACATTTTTTTTTTGAAAAAAATTTTTTTTTCTGTATTTTGACATATTGTAGAAGATCTGAATTTTTTTGAAAGCAATCGTACTGCTTTAACTGCATAGGGACAAAATATAAAGCGCGTAAGCGCCGCGTCGCTGTCTAACGCATAAGCATTTGTACGGAACCCATAGAAATGTTAACAAAATGTATGCTTATTGTTAAAATCTCTATAAAATATCTGATAATTTGATGTGCATATGTCTAATGATCATTTTTGACCGCCAAATGGCTCATTTTTTTACTTTTTCCTCCATATCTCCGAAACCGCTAGACCTACCTTCATGAAATTTTATCGATTCTTCACCTTGTCAATACAAGTGAAATGTTTTTTGAATTATTCAAATCGGACGCTCCGTTCTCTTAAAAACTGAGTTACCGTTTTCGGCACTTTTTGCCCCGTATCTTCGGAACGGCTAGACCTGCCTTCGCCAAAAACTAATCAGCACGTCTCCTTATCAATACGAATCGAATGTTTTTTGAATTATTCAAATCGGTTGATCCGTGTTCCCGAAATCGTCGACGAAAATTTGTATCCGCACATACATACACACACGCACATACATACATACATACATACATACATACATACATACATACATACACACACACACACACACACACATACATCCATTTTTTCTAAGGTATGCCAAAATGTTCAGAAACCTTTGAAACGTAAAGATATATAAAAATTTTCATTTTCGATTTTTTTGCGATTACTATAACTTGCCCTACGGGAAGTTAATAATTATGTTTGTCTAAATTACGATTTTCAATTTCGATTTGAATTTTGTCAATCTTTGTTGCATGGCCTAATCTTATGTATTCTCTTATAAAATTGTCGTAATCTGCCGCAAGTTTTTTATTATTTGTTAATCTTTTTTCCAAATTCATGAATCTTTTGTACGCTTGTGAATAAGTGGACCCAAGAGAAATGCGCGGATCACTTCTAAATGGCAACGCGACTTCAAATCTACCATTTGAATCCCTACTGACGTTTTGTTCAAATATGTCTTCTGCTCGTACTTCCTCCTGCGACAAGATACACCTATCATTATTTCCTCTATTTCCCAAAACTGTTTTAATTGGTCAGTTATATTTTCCTCGGTTGTTAACCCTACGTGCGCAAAAAAAGTCTTATATCCCAACGGACCGCAAAATGACCAACCAAAACTAGTGTTAAATAATGTTATTTTGTTTTTCAATTTCATTTGCTCATTTTTTAAACTTTCAAATAATATTTCTGCAGCTAATATTAAATCTATTTGTCGCGGCGAGTTGAAATTGGGATCGGCTAGTATGCAATTTTTCGGTATATCCCAATTTGATATGTCAACGCGTACTCCCGGTAAATTATTCGCAATGTTTTGCATAACTGTACAATCTAATGTTTTAGTATAATTGCTAATCCTAGATGCGACTTGTAGAGTTGCCGAACCTAAAACATTGGCATTTATACCGCCTATCCCGCCAACCGTTATATTTGCTTTTTTATAGGTTAATTTTAAATTTTCTGCTAGAGACTTTGAAATAATGTTTATCTGCGAACCAGAGTCTAGATAGAAGAGCGCGCGCTGTGGATATAGTACTACCGTTTGATACAAGCACTAGAACTGTGGGTAAAAGGGTTTGTTTTTGTTCCGCTTCTGCAATCATGGTCATAGTGCTTGTACTGGGTGTTGCTATATTTAACGAATATTCAGACCTATGTAGAACAGAATTATGACGCCTTTTGCAAAACGAACATTTGCGTTTACTATGACATTGTGATATTACATGCGAGGATTTAAGGCAGTTAAAACACAATTGCGTCTTTCGTACAAATTCAGCGCGATCATTTACTTGTAGTTTTAAAAATTCCTCGCATTGATTGAGGTAATGCTCTTTATTACAAAAGAGGCATTTCTGTTTGATAGGTGCAGCGAAATGAATTCTCTGAACCGGAATATTTATATTTGATCGTTGCTCGCGGTTCATATCGTAAGTTGCACAACGCTTTTCTAGAAAGGAAAAAAATTCGTCTAATGACGGTAGATTATTTTGTGAAATGGATGCACCCCACGCCATTTGGGTATCCATGTCTAACTTTGCCTTTAATATAAATATAAATATAAGATTCAAGAGCTCTACCGAGAGTCTCTCGTTTTTAATAGCGGATATGTGCTGTCGGGATTTGCATAAAAAATGTCTTAGTGACTTTTGATCTCTATTTTGTGGTTGATTTACAATTTCTTTCAATTGCGCGTTAATTAAAATCAATTTATTATCATAGGTACCCACTAACGTATCCCATGCTATTTGAAAATTCGCTTCTGTGATTGATAGGTTTTTAATTAAATTGGCGGCTTCTCTTTGTAATGAGTTTTTTAAATAGTGTAACTGTTGAGATTTTGTTAATAATTTATTTTCTATAATTAGACTCGAAAACATGTCTCTAAATTCCGGCCATTTAGAAAACTCTCCATCAAAATTCGGCAAATGAATTTGAGGGAGCTGAACTTTAGCTGAAGCTGACTCAGACACATTCTGCGCGCATGCAACTTTGTCTACAACCGGCCAATAAATTATCTATTGTAGACAAAATCTTGCAATATTGCGTTTCTATCTCGTCGCGATCGCCCTCGAATTCATCTAAATTAATCATTTCCAACGCCTCTTGTGCTTCATTATAATTGTTAAATGCGTCATTGAGAAGCTGCTTACGCGCGTTTTGTTCCGAAATACTGAATTCGAAAGTACATTTTGAAATATAATTTTGTGTTTGCGTTATTTTGGATTTTGCTAATCTCCGCTTTTCAATTAAAATATTTTGATTTTCCATTGTGATGTGATAGCCTTTACAATTCAAATACGAAAAAAATGATTGATAAAATATAAAAGATATATAAAATATAAATGATATACGAAATATAAAAGAAAAATGTTTGTGAAAAAACTATAATCGAATAACTATAAAATTCAAAAGTCAAGCCTAAACTAATTGGTGAATTTGAACTCTCCATCCCCTTGGAAGATGGCGCCTCTAATATAAGTAATAGTTTGGAAGCGTACCTCAATGTCTGGGTTGTAACTTGGATCCTCGGGTATATCTGACTTCTGCATGCGCCCTGTCGTACGCGATGTCCTTGCTCCGGGATGCTCGGTGCTGGGTTGCGAAATCTCGTGTCTGCAAACGCGCGGTTGCACACTGTAGCGTTCGGGGGCGGCTCGGTTGCGTGCGCTGTCGCTTCGGTCTTCAAGGGTGCTTCTTACGCTCACGAGAATGATGACGATGGCTAATGGCCGCCGACTGAATCCTTTCCAAACTTTTAAATTTTCACTTTTGTTTGGATTTATATTCAACTGCACTGCTTAATTTCAAATGTTTATATGTTTATCAATTATATTTTAAGCACTTTGTTATATTTTGGTTTAAGTAGATCACTTTAATGCTTCATGCTGCTAATCACACGTGTTTTTAAATTTTGCTTATTATGTTGTGCTTATTACGCGCACTAATATTTTTAATTAATTTTATTGAATTTTCTTCTTTTTAGTAATGGACTGTATTTGGATTAAACTTTGTGGTCTTATTCACTTATTTGCATACTTATTTGGCTCAAATGGACCATTTTATGGCACATTTCCCATAAATTTAAAATTGGGTTTATATTGAAACACACCTTGTAATTGAATCATGTATTTCACTTATTAGTAAGATTCTATAATATTATTTTAGTTTAATTTTGACTGGTTTCGCGAATCGGGCGGTTAATTATAATAACAAACTTAAGAGAAAGAAGAAACAATGTGACTGCTTTCGCTCGTCAAGCGGGTACTTTTTATGTTTCTTCTTGACGCTTAAACTTGTACTGGTTATTATACCTAATATTTTTGGGTAAAATGTTTTTTATTGCCCTGTATGAAGCGAATAGCTTTCTGCTTGTGCGTTGTTGCAGTTTTTGAACATTGGAGCAGCAATTCGCTCCATATCCTCATCCTCTTAAACGTAATTGAACAGCATCTGTCAAAAACGTTCGACATTTCACGTATTAGCCATCGTCCATTGTTTTATTTAAATTACGCTTTTACAAAAATTTTCAAATTAAAAATGTGAAATTTCTATGCGATTTTGAAATAATATCTCACCTTTTTGCAAGGCTAAGACTGGCCTAATCGGTTTAGCCGTTTTCGAGTTTTACCGAATCATTTGATCGAAAGCTCCATTTATATATATAAGATATATATATATATATATATATATATATATATATATATATTCAATAGATAAGTCCTGGATTTTTTCAATATATTGATTGTTTCTTTTCCGAACAGTAAATCCAATAATAAAAAACAATTTGTTTTTTGAAGATGTTTAATACGACGTTTCGGAACTAGGTACGTTCTATCATCAGGTTTATTCTGTCAAATACAATGTTTTTTAAAAATATTGATTAACATTAATTAACGATGGTCAATACAGATTAATTAGAAAAAAATTTTTTTATAAAGGAACGGATTATGTACCGGGGTAAAGAGTAATAAGAATTAACTAAAAAAGGTTTTATATAAAATTGAGAAGCAAAAATTATTTACCTGTAATAATTTATATATCCATATCACTAATATTTTTTTGTTAAAAACACTCGATTTTTTTGGAAGATATTTGTAGATGTTACGACTACACAAGACTTAAACACACTGATATGGATTTCTGTCTGCCAGATGTAAAGGACAATGTACGGAATTCCTGGCA